CATCCAGTGTATTTTAAATGGTGACCAAGGAAAATCGTTCCTTGGTGACAGATAGTGTTCCTTATTTGGTCGTTCAGACTTCAGGTGCATTCCCAACGCCCTGTCCGTCCGTCTGTCCGTTTGTTGTAATCACACTAGAGTCTAAACGAATTAAGATAGGAAGTTAAAATTTTGCACAGATCCCCCTTTTGTCTGCAGGCAGGTCAAGTTCGAAGATGGACTATAAAGGTACACGATATCGTATAGCCCCCATATAACGGTAACCCCCAATATTCGGTATTTTGATGCTTTTACCCACATTTTTCAACGGAATTGTCTGAAAATCCACACAAGGAGTTCCTTGTGGATGCTTTATACCTCGAATATTCGGTATTTTGACGATTTTAGCCACATTTTCTAATGGAATGGTCTGAAAATACACACAAGGGGTTCCTTGTGAGTATTTCACCCTCTGAAAGAGAATTGTCTATATAGGTCGACGATATCGTATAGCCCCCATATAATGGTACCCCGATATTCGGTATTTTGATGATTTTAGTCAAATTGTTTTCAAATTTCAGATATCCTAATATTTTATCAACCCAAGATCTGGTGTTAAGATGGAACATATCGGACCATTCTTTCTTTTACAACCTCCCTCCCCACAAATGATCGACATTTGGAATATCCATTAAGCTTCTAAGAGGCGAAATTAACATCCGATTCCACTTAGAGTCTGAGTATTTCTATCAAGACAAGATCTGTTCTAAATATGGTGGAAATCGGACCATTTGTTCTTGTATCTCCCTCAAAAAAGGGTAAAGGTTTTGAGTAACAAAAACTGTCAAACAAACAAAAACTTGTCTGTCTGTCTGTCCTTCTGGCTTGCTGCTGCGCACGATAATTCCAATATCCGATTTGGTCCAAACTTAGGACATCGAAATCTTTCTGTCAAACTTAGATCAAGTTCGGAGATGGACAATATCGGTTCACTCCTTTTGGTACCTCCCCCACAAAAGGACGAAATTTTCAAAAAATATATTTTTGACACAGAAAGAGAAAGGATAATCCAATTTTGCTTCAACTTTGCAAATCCGTTTGCGTCAGTGCTAATCAAGGCATGAAAATGGATAATATCGGTCCACTCCATGAAGTACCTCCCCAACAAATGGTTGCAATTTTGAATAATTTCAACTCTCATGTGATGTAAGAGTCCGAACATCTTAAAATTTAACACATCCCAATATTTATATTAACCCAATGTGTTCGCGGTAGAAATGTACGCACCGTTGGAATATTTTTACTACACTGAATTTATTTATTAAAAATATTTCTTAAGAACTAGTTATGATACTATGACTTAACCTAAATTATCATTAAGTGTAAATGAGAGAGATAGATTCTAACTGTACACATGCATATGCACCATGCCACCATAAACCTTAGGAGGAGGTCATACACACACATAGCTATCTTACATGTGGCAAGCAAACATGCTGCACTTGCTTATCAGTCTGAGTAAAGATTACATCCCATAATCTAACTCCACCATAACACATGCAGCAACTGAAAATTCTGTATTATTCATTTCTAAATCGAAGGTCTGCTCACTACAGTTTCTTATCTTATTTAAAGACCCCCACATGCTTGCCCCTTTGGTGTTTGTATTTATTTGGTGTTTGTATACATTTGTTAACAATAGATTTCCTTTCCACAACTTATCTCCTCTATTCAACTAAAATAATTATATGAAATCTGTTCACTCATCCGTGAACATCTTCCCCGGGGCTTTATTTACCCCCATAATTTCCATCATCTTTATAATCTACTTTCTGTTTCTTCGCGTGGTTTTGGTACATCTAAATTTATCCTAACTAATGCCCTTTTCATTTTATACTTATTTCTAATGTTTAATACTACTGCTATTAAAACGAATGTAAGTACTATAATTAATGACGCCATGCCGCTATGATGATGAAAATCCAGTCCTCTAAGGTTCAGCTTCGTCTTCTTCAACTCAGCGATTTCTTTACGCAGTCCTTGCATGGTCTCCGTATGGTTAATCCTCATATCATTCAGTGGACCCATATTAAATGCAGTTATCTCGGTAACATTGGTGACCAACATCATCTTGTTATCCACAATTCGCTCCGACTTCAATTGTACCGGTGCAGAAATTAAAACACCTTTGATACGCAGAGTACATCCTGGTTGCAATTCCACTATCCCTTGAAGTGGCAATTTCATTATGATTTGACCTCCTGGATTACATTGCAGATGTGCCGACGTAATGTTGAAAGAACTAACTAGCCAACTGTTCGATGCATGTAACTTTGTCCATAGATGTTCAAGCTGTGTTGTTATAAATTGATATCTGTGGCTATTGAGAGGCTTTATCAACGACACTTCACATGAGTTGTCATTTGCGTCTATCCACGGCCATCCTCCTTGACATACATATTTATTTTCTGCTAATCGCTGACATCCGTTTAGCTCCGCTTGTGACATCAAGTGGTAAGCATCCGCATTGTAATTGTATATAAGAAACTGGTTCCTCGATGTGGCTATCATATTCGTTCCTTTAAACATAAACCGAATCGGAATAACTTTGTACAGCTGAGACACTTGGTCATTGAGGAGAGGAATAGATACAGCAATCACCAAGTCATTTTTCAACGTAGTAGCTCTGGCAGTCAACAGTTTATAAATTGTCCGCAACTGATCATCCTTGTTCCCTGGTAGCTTCAAGTGGTCTGGTATATGCTGTCTGATGTGGTTTACTGCGTCTTGCAATTGTGCTGGAGTGAGGAGCGCTGTATTCAATTTCCCGTGGTTTATATCAATCAGCAACTCAATTATTTGCGCCTGAACCTTTTCATTCTCTTCCACCATTAGCTGAAGGTCTTTTGTCACCATGAAGAATTTTATGGGCTCTTTATACACGAAATAATTCTCTTTTACGGCTTCCGTAATGTTGTTGATTCTCTCAACCATCCTCTTGAAATAAACATTCACCTCTTCCGTGGTTCTTCTCAACACATTTGTAGTAGATTCGACCACTGATGTCTGGTTTTGGATCAGGAATTTCAAATCATGCTGGTTGTTTAATAGGTTCTTCATATTTTCCTCCATGTGTCTTCGATCATCCGCATCCATTGTCCCAAACAACACGTTCTGCAGCGATCCTATGAACTCCAGGGGATCTCTCTTCACTCGCTGAAATTCCCCGGGGAACAAATATTGATTTGTTTTTTCCATATTTCCCACCTGTCTTCCTATCGCGTCTAGCACGTGATCGCACTGGCTCTCAAAGTCCATTAGCTTTGGACATGATGTTCTCATATCTTTTAAAAGTAACTGTGCTCGTTGTATTAACTCAAAATACGGCTGCATATTGAAATGTACTATTACATTCCATGTTGACGCTACTACATCCACGGAGCCACTGTAGTCCAGGTATAATGCTGCTGAATTATTCAGAGAGGTTATTGTACCGCCAATTTGTGCCACTCTACTTGAATTCACCGACGCCATCAACAACACCGACAGGAACACTCCAACTGCTGAAACTTTGTTGTCCTTCTTAGTATTCTTCTGGACATCAACTTCTTCTTCTTCTGCCTTCACCAATGGACAAATCTTTTGAACAGGCCGTTTTAAACATCCGTTTTGCAACTTTACTGATACTACCCGTACCTTGCCATCTTTGCCCGCAAATGTCTCGTCGACTCGACTAAGAGGCCATTTTGCTGGAGGCGATGTTTCCTCTTTGACAATCACCACATCTCCTTTCTGCACATTATCCTTTGGCTGGCTTTTTGACTCTCCAATTACTCTATTAAGGTGAAATTTCACTGATTTCACACCTGCTTCCCAAATACCTCCTTGGTGAGGTGCCCCAGGTGGAATAAATTTCCATTGCATTTTCTCTCCTGTCAAAAAACTCATCGCTGAACTGTTGTTTTTGACCGCTGCCTTAAAATCTTCATCCAATTTTCGACTGGCACCTATGAAATTCGTTCCATTATCGTTGTAGATAACTGCGCACTTTCCTTGCCGGGCAAAAAATCTTTTGAGGGCTGCTATAAACGCTTCGGTTGTCAAGTCGCTAACTGCTTCTAGGTGTATTGCTTTCGTTGCCATACATACAAACACTGCGATGTATCCTTTAAAACATTTTTGTCCCCTGGTCCTTGAACACTTCATTAGAATTGGTCCAGCATAATCCACGCCCGTGTGCAAGAATGGATGACTTATCATTACTCTTGGCTCTGGTAAATTTCCCATCAATTGCATAGTTGTTTCCTGTTTATAACGAATACACTTCGTGCAATGGCGGATCTGCTTCTTTATAATTCTTCGTACACCAGTTATCCAATATTTTCTCTTAATAGCAGTTTCAGTTAATCGATTACCTCCATGCAGAGTTAATTTGTGGTAATCGGAAACCATTATTTCAGCCAGATGGGATTTTTGAATAATCACTGGATGTCGCTGGTTGAATTGCATACTTGCATTCTGTAGTCGCCCTCCAATTCGCATAATGCCGTTCTTGTCAATAAATGGATGAAGATTCGCTATGCTGCTATTTCTGCTCACTAACTCCTTGTCTATCAGAGCTCTTCGTTCTTTAGGAAATTGTAATATTTGATGACGCCTCAAAATTACTTCCTCTGCACCCTCAATCTCTGCTACTGCAAGCGCTGCTGAACCTGGTTTCTTGCCTTTCACTATTCCAACAAACGTCAGAATGTAGGCAACAATTCTCTGTAGCTTTGAAAAACTCGAACATTTCTCGGTTATGGCATCTACAAAATGTTCGTCTCTAGCCGTTATAGCGCTCATCAATACTGGTTGCTTCTGTTGCGGCATGGAGGGCCACTCATCTGATGTCTTCTGAAGCCATTTAGGTCCACTCCACCAAATACTTTCTTCTCTTACCACTGAATGATGCGGTAAGTAGTACTTCCCTTCAACTGCTGCTGACACCTTTTCCATATGGCCCAACTCTTCGTACTCCTTCATAATTTTTTGTAGCTTTCATCAAGATTTGGATTACGACGTAGCTTCTTTTCTATTGACAATAGTCTTGCAATTGCCAGACCTTTCGAATCACCAAGGGATTTGTCATCTTTCAGTGGTAATGACACCACTATTCTTCCTTCATCTTCTACCACCGTCGTTTCATTGTACGTTTGCATGCACCAGTCATCTTCGATCGTCATACTTGATGGTGTGTCCACCTCCTCCAACTCCCAGAACCTTTCCAAGTTTGTCACTGCCGAATAAAATCTTCTGGATTTATCTTTAAGCTGAACTTTACCAGACAAGATCCATCCCAGTTTTGTTTTTTGCGCAAAAGGTCCTTTATTTTTCACTTGACCTTCTTCCATTATTTCAGAGTAAAGGTCGCCGCCAATGATCAAATCCACTCTGTCGCTTTTATTAAATAAAGGATCTGCTAGTGTATAGTTGTTCCATTCTTCTATACTGGTTTCGAATGACTCTTCTGGCTGTGCACTCATCACTGTTGGCAGAACTAACGCTTCTGTGCTGAAGACATCATTACTCAGAAATCGAGGTTTCATATCCAACTTAACTTTGTATTTTGAGACCCCAACGGGTGTACTGCCAAGGCCATGAATCACGGTGTTATTTCTGATTCTCGGGAGTCCCAAAATTTGAGCGGCTTCCTCTGACACCGACGTCACTTGAGATCCTTGGTCGATAATAGCTCTCATTATCACATATTCTCCGCTTATTGCCCGCACTTTCACTTGTGCTGTTGCTAGCAATACAGTTGAATGATTCTCCTGTGTCACCATCGTTGCTTTTGAACCGCTGGAATCTTTTTTCGTCTCTGCCCTTTTTATGCCTTTTTGTTCGTTCAAGTGTAGTAGTGTATGATGTCGTCCATTACACGTTTGACACCGCCTGTAGCTGAGACACTTTTTATCAGTTTTGTGATTCAAACAGAAGTAGCACATTTGAATCCCTTTAGCTTTGTTTTTTCTTTCGATTGGTGTCATTGCTAAATACTTTCTGCAGTCAAACATTTTGTGTCCCACTTCATTGCAGACATGACAAGACTCCTGCATTTGATTGACTCTTTTTTCGAATTTAAATTCTTTCTTTGCCACCAACGAGTCCCCTGCTGCTTCTAACGCTAAAAATTGTTGCTCCAAAAACTGGATCACATCTTCGAGTTTCTGGATTTCTCTTGGCTTCTTTATCTGTTGTTCGTATAATCGCAAACAATTTTTGTCAAATTTCCTCAGGATGACTTTGGCGAAGAATGTAGCTGTATTTTCCAAAGGTATCTTCATTGACTTAAGCCCTTGAATACTGTTTTTGGTAGTATCTAGCATCTGTTTCACGCTGTTTGTTGACTCGCTGTCCATTGATGGTTGATCCAAAATTGCGTCAACCAATCTGTTGAAAAGTACTCTTCGATTTTCGTACCTTTCCTTCAATAATTCCAACGCCTCTTCATAATCGCTATCTTGGGTTCGAAGATGTTGAATTATGCGGCGCGCTTCTCCTTTTACAGCCGCTTTCAGCCTATGCATTTTTTCCACGTTGGTGTAGTATGGTGCGTCGTGCACTAGGCTTTTAAATAAGTCATGAAATGATTCCCATTCACTTATATTTCCCATGAATGTAGGAACTTCGATTTCTTTTTTATTAATTATTGTATAAGGCCTATCGACCTTTTCTGCTTTTTTCGGTTGAGTCTGTCTGATTTCTGCTGCTCTAATGGATTTCTTCATTAATAACTGTCTCCATTGAGCCGCAATATCCGAGTCGAACCTGACCTCCTTTTCAGCGGCATTTACAAGACCTTCGCTGAATTTATAAGCACTATCCAGCTCATCTTCTGTTTGAAGGCAATCCATCATATCCATTGTCTGTTCCATATGTTGTAGCAGACCTCTTGTCTCCACCTCGTACTTGGTCAGTGCCGAGCCTTCGATCGATTCGTCTTCTTGGGCATATGGCCCCATAGCGGCATCCCTTCTTTCCCCAGCATTTTTACTTCAATTTCTTCATTTTATTTTATTTTTTTAATTATTAATTTTCACTGGTTCTTTTTTTTTTAAATTAAGGTTTCGAAGGACCAAACTGTTCGCGGAAGAAATGTACGCACCGTTGGAATATTTTTACTACACTGAATTTATTTATTAAAAATATTTCTTAAGAACTAGTTATGATACTATGACTTAACCTAAATTATCATTAAGTGTAAATGAGAGAGAGATAGATTCTAACTGTACACATGCATATGCACCATGCCACCATAAACCTTAGGAGGAGGTCATACACACACATAGCTATCTTACATGTGGCAAGCAAACATGCTGCACTTGCTTATCAGTCTGAGTAAAGATTACATCCCATAATCTAACTCCACCATAACACATGCAGCAACTGAAAATTCTGTATTATTTATTTCTAAATCGAAGGTCTGCTCACTACAGTTTCTTATCTTATTTAAAGACCCCCACATGCTTGCCCCTTTGGTGTTTGTATTTATTTGTGGATTGTACATTTGTTAACAATAGATTTCCTTTCCACAACTTATCTCCTCTATTCAACTAAAATAATTTTATGAAATCTGTTCACTCATCCGTGAACACAATGTCTGGTGTTAAGTTGGAATACATCGGTCCACACCTTCTTGTATCTCATCAGAAATGGTCGAAATTGTCAAAATATATATATATATATATATATATATATATATATATATATATATATATATATTTTTTTTTTTTTTTTTTTTTTTTGCACAGAAAAAGAGAAATTATAATCCGGTTTTGCTCCAACTTTGCAAATTCTAATGTTTGCGTCAGTGCTATGTCCCAAAAAAAAAAAAAAAAAAAAAAAAAAAAAAAAAAAAAAGAATTTAGATGAGACAGTAGGCAGGTTAAGTTCGTAAATGGGCCATGTAGGTCCACTTTTTCACATAGCCCCCATATAACGGTATCTCCCAATATTCGGTATTTTGATGATTTTAGCGACATTATTCACCGGAATTGTTTCAAATTTGGTATTTGAAGTTCGAAATAGATACTACAGCCTAAGACAGAAAATTGTCTGTGCAGGTTCACGTCTTCGTATAGCCCCCATATAACTGTACCTCCCGATATTCGGTATTTCGATGATTTTAGCGACATTATTCACCGGAATAGTTTCAAATTTAGTATTTGAAGTTCGAAATGGATACTACATTATTCACCGTTTATTTCAAGTTCAGAAATTGAATTTGGTAATGACTTATGACAAATAATGCCTGTGTGGGTCCACGTCGTATAGGCACCAATATAACGGCAATATTCGGTATTTTTAAAATTTTAACAAAATTTTGCAGGATTTTATTTCCATATTCGTTCCAAATGGTGGAACTTACTGCTTTTTAACTTGTTATGATTTAGTCGCATTTTTCAATACAATTGTCTGAAATTGTTCACAAAGAGTTCCTAATGAGTACTTTACTCCCTGGAAGAGAATTGTCCATATAGGTCCACGATTTCTTAGAGCCTCCATAGAACGGTACTCCCCTATATTAGGCATTTTGATGATTTTAGTCACATTTCCCATTATTTAGATGATTTTACGAAATTCTGAAATTGCATAAAAGGAGTTCCGTGTGAGTCCACAATATCTTACATCAACCATATATCCCAACCTTCCGATATTCGGCATTTTTAAGAATTTAAAGAATTTTAATTGATTTTATGTTTTTGAAAATTTTTATTGCTTTTTTACTTGTTATAACAGATCCTGTGTTGATAGAAATATTGAGATGTACCATGTCTGGAATGGAATCGGATATTTATTTCGCGTTTATAAGCTTAATTGATATAAAAAATGTCGACCTATTTGGGGGAGGTACCAGAAGGAGTGGACCGATGTATTCCATCTTAACACCAGACCTTGGGTTAATAAAACTATCGGGATGTGTGAAAGTTGGAGACAATCGGACTCTTACATCACATTTTATAAGAGTTGTAATTATTCAAAATTTTGACCCATTGTGGGGGAGGTACTAGATGGAATAAACCGATATTGTCCATTTTCGCACCTGATCGAGTGACGCAAATATTAGGATTTGCAAATTTAGAGCAAAATCGGATTATCCTTTCTCTTTCTGAACAATAAATTATTTTCTTTGAAAATGTTGACATTTTGTGGGGGAGGTACCAGAAGGAGTGGACCGATATTGCTCCATCTCCAAATCGGTTACTCTCTTTGAAAGTTATCGTGCGCACCAGCCAGACAGACAAACAGACGGATGAACGGATATCGCCAGATCGACTCCAAATCTCCCGAACCGGATTTGATTCATAGAGACCTAGTGCCTAAAACCGTTATATCGACTAGTCACGTTTTAACCGTATCAAATATCAGCCATATGGCTGAGGGTATAATAAATATTATGAAACATTGGTAGGTCCATTGTATTTAATCATAAACAAATTGCACCACTTATATTACATTACCGAATTCATCCGTTTTATGTACCAAAGAAAATAAAAAAATAAATAAAAGTAACCCTCTCTAGCCATATGGCTGAGGGTATAATAAATATTATGAAACATTGGTAGGTCTATTGTATTTAATGATAAACAAATTGTACCACTTATATTACATTACCGAATTCAACTGCTTTATGTACCAAAGAGAATAAAAAAATAAATAGTAATATGCCGCAGTGCGGATTTGAACTCCCAAACCAGTGCATGCCACCAGTTGCCCTTAACCAACCCGGTCATAAAGCCACAGCAACACTTTGATCTAAATCGCAATCTGAATCAAGCAACATCTTTATAAACAAAAGTTCATGTTGATGTTGCATTTGAAGCTGTTAACAGCATCGTCATGGAAAGTAACGGTCCATGAAAATTAAAATGCAGGTATTTACAGTTCTGTTTTTGTTCTACTTTTTTCTTAATGTTATTAGATGAAAATTTTTCTGGACATGATGCCTATTTCTTCTTTTTATAAATCAGATTTAAGACTTTTGTAAATTTTAAATATTTGGTACACAATATTGATGTATCAAAAAGTTCATGCCAAATTATGAAAAATGAATTTTGTTACTCCCTTAAATCATTTCTTTCTACTTTGCTTACAGCTGATATAGGAATAGAAATATGAAAATTTTCACAAAAAGCCAGGAAGGAAATGTTAGATAAACACTATTATAATTGAAATAATAGAATTCACATATTGTTATGTTGCACATTATTTTAATAAAATTGTTTTTGTACCAAAATGAGCAGTTTATTTTGTTGACGTATACAGATGTTAAGCTGTTGCCCTTCCATGTAGTTGCATTTCTCACAACAAACCATTCCCTTTAGTATACATTCAAGCTAGCGGCCATCAACATGTAGGTAGCGTAACCACCAATGGCGTTGTAGCACAATTGGTCGGCTGCTGTCGCTGAGTCACGCTACAGTCGAAAAAAATTAAGGTAGGAAGCTAAAATTTGCACAAATCTGTCTTTGGTCCGCAGGCAGGTCAAGTTCGAAGATGGGCTAAATAGGTCCACGATATCTTATAGCCCCAAATAACGGTACCCCCGAAATTCGGTATTTTTATGATTTCAGTCACATTTTTCAATGAAATTGTCTAAAATTGTACACAAGGAGTTCCTAACGAGTACTTAACCCCCTGGTAGAGAGTTATCTATATAAGTCTGCGACATTGTATACCCCCCATATAACGGTACCCCTCCCGATATTCGGTATTTTTATGATTTTAGTCGCATTTTTCAATGGAATTGTCGGAAATTGTACACAAGGAGTTCCTTACGAGTACTTTACCCCCAGGAAGCGAATTGTCTATATAGGTCTACGATATCGTATAGCCCCCATATAACGGTACTCCCCTATATTCGGTATTTTGATGATTTTAGTCACATTTTTCAATGGAATTGCCTGGCATTATACACAAGGAGTTATTTATGAGTAACTTACCCCTGGCAGAGAATTGTCTATATAGCTCCACGATATCGTATAACCCTTATATAACGGTAAACCCGATATTCGGTATTTTGATGATTTTAGTCACAGTTTTTCAATGGAATTGTCTGAAATTCCCCACAAGAAGTTTCTTATGAGCACTTTATCACCTTGAAATAGAATTGCTTATAGATCCACAATATCTTAGATCCTCCATATATCCTCACCATCCGATATTCGGTATTTTTAAGTTTTTAACAGATTTTTTTAATGGATTTTATGTTTCTAAAATTTTACTGCTTTTTTACTTGTTATAACAGATTCTGTGTTGATAGAAATATTGAGATGTACCAAGTCTGGAATGGAATCGGATATTTATTTCGCGTTTTATAAGCTTAATTGATATACAAAATGTCGACCTATTTGGGGGAGGTACCAGATGGAGTGGACCGATGGATTCCACCTTAACACCAGACCTTGGGTTATTAAAATGATTGAGATGTGTGAAAGTTGGAGACAATCGGACTCTTACATCCATTTTATAAGAGTTGTAATTATTCAAATTTTGACCCATTGTGGGCGAGGTACTAGATGGAGTGGACCGATATTGTCTATTTTCGTACCTGACGTAGTGACGCAAATATTAGGATTTGCAAATTTGGAGCAAAATCGGATTATCCTTTCTCTTTCTGTACAATAAATTATTTTCTTTGAAAATGTTGACATTTTGTGGGGGAGGCACCAGAAGGAGTGGACCAGTATTGCCCATCTCCGAACTTGATCTAATTCTTGACAAAAATATTACGATGTATCAAGTTTGGACCAAATCGGTTATTCTCTTTGAAAGTTATCGTGCGCACCAGCCAGACAGACAGACGAATGGACGGATATCGCCAGATCGACTCCAAATCTCCCGAACCGGATTTGATTCACAGAGACCTAGTGCCTAAAACCGTTATTTCGACTAGGCACGTTTTAACCGTATCAAATGATATATACCCTCTCTAGCCATATGGGTGAGGGTATAATAAATA